TTGTTTAAAACCAAAAAAAAAAAAAAAAAATTAAAGACAAATACATTACATGTAGAAACTACATTTTCTTGATAGTGGTCCTTTAGGTGATAAAGTAGTAAGAATTTGTAATTAAAGTAAAACTATGGGCAAAGTTAAAACAAACATACCATATAAATAATCTATATACAGTGTATGTATGTGCAAAGGTACACACGCACACACTGTCATTAACATAGCAGTTTTTGTTGCATCCCCCAATAGCTTTTTTATGACCTGTTGCTCCAGCCAGCAGATCGGTTTTCATTTCCTGTAAAAGGTCAAGCTGTCCAACAACTGTCAGTTACAGGGGCTGAGACAAACCATATTACACTGGCGGAGGGTCTTTACAATGGTTACCTGTTTTTTGTATAACCCAAAACCATTTTTTTAAAAGAACAAAATTAAACCCCACTGCTCTCATGGCTTAAAGGGAAAGTTCCCTTTTTTAAAAAAAATAAAATAAATGCACACTTGTTTATAAAAGAAAAAATGTGCATTTATTATTATTTATTTATTATAATTTTTTGCATAGAAGCCGGTAAATCATTGCAACTGCGGTCAGTACATCACAGGTGCAATGCTTTGGCTTGAGACAGTTCAGACAGGGAGGCAGAGTTAATGGACTACAAGTGTGGTGACGTTCCCCCCCCCCCTCCCCATGCAAGGGTTAAGTTCTAATTTTTGTTTAGGTGCAAAAATAACAAAGTTATACTCACCTGAACTTTGGAGCTGGTCAGCTGTTATAGCACTCCTTGGAGCGATAGTATGTCCCTCAGTGTCCTCACATCCAATACACATGTGTATTGGACGTGATGACTCAAAGGACCCTCGATTGCCACAGTAGATGGGAAGACAGGCTCGAAGTACCGGTCTAGGAGCCAGGCAACTCTGAGGATCAGGTGAGTATAACTTTTTTAATTTTAACACCTAGAGCAAAACAAGCACTTCACCCTTGCAGAGCGGGGGTAGCCTCAGTGCAAGGGTTAAGAAAAGTTTTGCCCGGAGTAGTTCTTTAAACTGCATGTTCATCTAAGACAGTGGTTCTCAACCTGTGTAACCTCAGGACCCACATTTGTCCCCGATCATGAAGTCGCGACCCAAGTCTGTATTGTCTGCACTGCAATGGAACGCACGGCATTAGGGTACCGTGTGTTCCGATGCAGACGTACAAACTGTGGGTGGGAGGTGCGTTTGGGGTACCATTCAAATGAATGGCAACGCAACACACCTCCCACACCAGAATGCGTGGTAAGTGCAATTGGGTGGTACAGTGCGTTAATCACACGGTACTATGCAATTAACGCACTATACAGGCTCTTTTTTTTAACGGTCCACCAAGTCTCCCTACCTTACAAGAACTGGAGTAGATCCCCAGCCTGGGGTCCAGTGTGGGCTGCTGTGCTGGAGCTCCATCCATACGTGCATTGCTTGTACAGCTCCCTTGCACACCGTGTAGAGGTGCCGGGAGCCAGAATGTGATGTCACTCCGATTCAGGCACCGCTATAGGACACATGAGGGAGCTGTAAGCAATGCATGTATGGGTGGAGCTCCCTCGCGGCCATAGCCCCATCCCACCTAAAGCTGACACTCGGCGTCGGGCAGCATATTTTAAATGACTGCTTGGTACGAGAACTGACATTGCTGCGCTAGGGGGAGGCTGAGGAGCCTCTCGCCTAGAAAACTGGAAGGCATGCGGTGACCCACTGAACACGGGGTCACGACCCACTTTTGGGTCATGACCCACCAGTTGAGAACCAAGGATCTAAGACATCCACAAAGTGACAACACTGCTGGGTGACTTCACTTAAGAATGAACAGCATTGTCACCTTATTACAGGAAGAAGAAATAGGCCTTCTGGCAGGATCAAAAGGTAATAAAACATACCTTCCCCAGGTAGCATTAGAAAAACAAACTGCTGTCATAAACAAATGGCAGACTGCATCATATACTGTATGTAATTTTTGCTTTTTGATGAGTAAAGAAAAAATGCTAGAATAGGGATATGTTCCCCAAGTATATTGTGCCTTAACTTTATATTTCTGTTCATTGTACTCCTGCAAGCTTTTTCAGCAGACAGGAATTATACTCAGTAATTATATAATAAACTGCTAAGTGGCATGGATAGATCAAAAACTGGAATGACCACGGGTAGAGAACTTGTAACTTTTCCGGTTTAGAACAGGTTCTCTTGAAATAACTTTTCACGGATACCACCCTCACCCTCTGTCAGAGCTGGGAGACGTAACCGTGTAAGTTCTGTGTCGCTTACACTGGGGTAATGTCTTCTTACCCTCCCTCCTGTGACAAGTTCAGGCATGGACCAAGCACTGCATTCTGGGGGAAAGGGGAGGAATTCACATACTCCCCTATGTTCCAGAGGCCAGGTATTTTTCCTAGGCCTTGGACATGGCAACACAGTGGCAGGCGACGGTGATGAAAAGGAGTATCAGTGAGTATCAGGTTTCAAGAGAACCTGTCACTTTGCTCTGCATGGGCAAAGTAGCAGATTATCTACCTATAAAGGAGGTACAGTTGTGGTATCACCATTTGGCAATCTAATAAAATACAAGTGTTAATAGATAATAGCTGCTTGCAGGCCTCTCTGGCACTGAATTAATAAAATAAGGGTTTGTATACACAATGATGAGAACTGTGAAATATTTTTTTATAAAAAGTTGTACCTTTCCATGGAGTAGTTGGAATTGTAAGAGAACAATAAGGAGCTGGAAAGAGTGAAGACAGAAGAAGGATAGAACACAAGGGAGTGGAATATTTCCCGAACACGGGGCACAAAAACCTTACAGCATGTTTAGTACCTTCTCTTTCTCCTTATGAATCTCATTTTCCAGGGCAGTAAGATTGTCTTGTAGCTGCTGAACCATCCTCTGTTCTTGCTGCAACTGGGAGAGCTCAGCCTCCCTTTCTCCCTGAAGTAGAGCACGCTCCATCTCTGCCTGCATAGAGGAAGAAAGGACAAACAACAGATGGGTCTAGTATTTCCTCAAAATGAAAACTATTTTCCCTCTTCTTATGAAATCAGACCATCACCATACAAAATAAAGGACAACACAGCCCATGCCACATAAAACGGTCTAATTTCTCCCCAATGCACAAAACTTCCTGGCAACTGTCTAGATGTTTTCAAACCTCTCGAGCACTTTCTTGCAATTGTCTCTCAAGTTCGGTCACTCTGTTCTTCAGCTGTTCCACACGGTTTATTGTTGCTCTTCTCTGTTCCTCCAGAGTGCGCAGTTCAGAGTTTACATCTCCAGCTGGTGAAGAATCTTCGTGCTAAAAAGACAAACTGGATATTAACAACATAATACAGCAATCGGTCCTACGCAACCATCCAAGCTTTTATTTGTGCATCACATGTCCCCATCCCACACCTAAGGTTTTTCTGTTTATGCCGAACAAAGCAGGAGCTTGGTCCTTCAATAACCCCACCATATTTGGTCATATACTGCAGTGGTCCCCAACCCCCGGGCCGCGGACCGGTACCGGTCCGTGGATCAAATGGTACCGGGCCGCCCAAGGAACGCGTGCGACTTTCCATGGACGAGAGGTTTAAGGCCGTGACACACTGCAGGCGAAGCAGCGCGGCGCACAGGCGAGCAGCGACTTGCGGTCCTTCGCCTGCAGTGTGTCTAGCGAGTTCCGATCCCCCGCTCTGCCCGGCGACAGCGTGCGTAGCGCAGCGTCGTGAGATGAAAAAGTTCATCTATGTACTGGGCTATCAAATAAACACCTGCACAGCACCCCATCAAGTCTTAAGGTGCCCATACACCTTACGATTATCGGACTAAACTTTTCGTCCGATGATCGAACCGTCGTACGATTTTCGTACGACGGCCCCATCCTGCCCCGATTATCGCAAGGTTCAATCAGCGGTAGTTAGAAAAAAACACCTGGACGACTTGCGGTAATTGACCGCAATTATTTTCGTTTGCGCATGCGCAGTGTTAATCGTACGACATTTGACGGACGGAAACGCCACCAACCATGCGAACATCGTACGATCAACCAAAGTTTTCAAACATGCTTGACCGTCAAAAGTCGTACGATTGTACAGTACTATCGGTCGGGCACTCTATTCACACGTTACGATTGTCGTACGAAAAGTCGATCGCATACGATTATCGTACGATAATCGTAAGGTGTATGGGCACCTTAAGTCCAGGGTCTCAGCAATAGATATCACTGTCAAGTGAGCGTGCCATCAACCCGGAAGGGTGTTAAAGCAAAACCACTGATTGGTTGGTTTACACTCACACGATCCACCATCTATAGCTGCAGTTGGAACCCACAGATCAGTCCAGGCCTGGATTGCATGTTGACTTTTTTGCATTCCAATATTTAGCACAGTTAGTGGGATTGGAAGGACCAAGGTATGTTTGAGAGTAAAGGACTGCTTTACTCCCTGTCAGCATTCATTATGCATGGTTATCCTTTTTAACTGTAAAGAGAACATGAACTCCACTCCGAGTAATTAAAACTAGAAGTGCTGCCTATAAGCAGGCACTTTTCTTGCTTCTTTTGTGCAGAAAAGCCTCCAGTAAGATCCCCCAAATGAGAACACTGTAACTCTATCATGGAGACTGATATTGCTATAACGACACTGGACATGAACACCAATCACCCCATTTCCGGCGAAAATACCTTGTTGGAAAATAAGGACTCTCTTATTGGTCAGGGGTCATTGGGGCTGGCCTTAGTACCATGGGCAGATAGGGTAAAGGTCATAAGTCAAAGCTCCATATCAAAGTAATCTCAAACAGGTAGCAAAAGCAGCTTTTGTGAGGCCAGGTTCACACCTGGGTTATTCGTGATCACGTGACCACCTGGGATCTGAGAACTAAATTCTCTATAGCGCACGTGGATATTTTAGTTTGAATCTCTGATGTATGGAGCCACTGCTGTCAGGAAAACTATTCCAAATAATGTGTCAGCATTATATTTGTGATCTGGAATACAGCAGGGATTATTTGGTTTCTGAAAGAAAATTCTTAAACGGTTACAAAAAAGAGCCCTCCAGTCATATTCCTGCAAGAAAACCACTAGCTCAGACAAGTCCTCAATTTTTCAAAGTGAAACTTTGCAGGATGCATCACATCATCCCTTTACTAATTAAAAACAGAGTAGCAACTCTCCTTCACAGTGATTTACAAAACACTATTCATAAAACTCCTCTGGATCCATCAGGCAGATATCTTGGTATTGGAATCACAAATGTACAGCAATAATGGCGCACCGGATCAAATCCCAGAAGCCAGGTAGCCAGTGCTCCTTAAAAATAACAGCTGGTGCCCAAATTTTGAGGCCTAGTTTCGGTCAATGGAACTGCCCCCCCAAAGATCCTGCTGGCTCCTGCATTGGATAAACTGGCTCCGGAATTCCAAATTAATTTGTCCACCCCCTACAAATAAACCCTAACAATGAACATTTCATGCTGTGTTAAACATACCATTGAAAGTGTTTTGTGTTATCTGTTAGATAAGTGCAAAGAAGATCCTTCCTGAAATCTAATGAGCTTGAAAGTTCCTGTGTGCTCTGCCTCTGCTGCACTAAACCCTCAAGCAGTATGTATTATCATCCCTGCCAAGTATATCTCTGGACTAAAAAAACACCTCCCTTCTATGTTATCGAGATGAGAACAGGGTGTATTCTGTAGTCCTAACACACTTCTTGTTCTAGGGGTGATTACTGGCAAGTTCGCCAGGTGAAAATAAAGGTAAAGAAACCTTAAAAAAGAAAATGAATGCATCCACCGCATCTAAGCACAAGTAAGCTGCAACGTATTAAAAAGCTTTTCTTGCATTTAGATACACTTCAACTTAGCTAAGTCTTTACAACATCTAAGGATTTACATCAATTATGTATCTAAGGACATAATGTAACTGCTCTTCAGTGGGGAAAAACACCAGACCAAGATCGCGGATGGAATTTCTGGGGAATACTGTAAATAATGAATTGCTGCATTACAGTCCATCTTCAGACACTCCTCAATTCAATTCAATTCGGTTCTGAGGAAGGGGGCATGCCCCAGAAACATGTAAACCGAGACCACACAGGGGCAGTGGACGCTGATGCTGCACATCTTTTCAGACTTCCACTGCTAGATGATCTGACATCCCATTGTTTTCTACATGCCTTTTTACTACCGACTTTTTGTAAGTACAATACAGTTGTGAGTTTTTATCATTAAAATTGGTTTTACAATATGGAGGCGCTCCTTTTTGTTTTTTGTCTCTCAGATTGAAGGTCCTTTGACCTGTGGGAGCTGCCTCTTCAGTGTGTTCGTTACCATTGCAACTGGCCAATATTGCACGTGGAGGCGCCAGTATTGTTTCCTGTCACTCCTCAATTCACTACTATCTAAAACAAAGTCATATTCACATTCAGCTCAATGAGGCCCACATGGTATTCCTCGCCTAACCACAGAAAAATGTAGAAAATCTCGGCTCATACAGTCCAGTTGTGTATTGAATTCAGAAATCAAGCTCCAAAAAAAAGCTAATCGCTTGTTTCAGACACAGATAGGCATTGTTCCTAGTAGGTCAGCTCTCTACAACATCAGAATGGCCATGGGGACAATTGTTTCCTGTACATTAAATCAGAGAAGATGGAGCATAATATGCTGATTAACAGAAACATAAAATAACGAAGACCACATATAGGTACTTTGGTCTTCGTCTATAGTCAAGCGATATGATGAACAAAAGGAACTATAAACATAGTTTGGATGCATTTGATGCAGTTTTAGTCCTGTATTGCCTGCACTCTGATGAGGACATTCTGATGTACCAGTCTTGCCACTCTCCGTTCTGCCCTAACATTGACTAGTCGCTGACGGCCACAATTCGCACGTTCAGACCCAGATTTCGGCTGAAAGCCCAGTATTTAAACACTTTAACAACAGCTGCTCTTGAACATTTAACGAATTCTGCTGTTTTGCTGATACTCGCATCATGGCTCCGAGCGCCAACAATAATCCCACGTTCAAAAGCTGTTAAATTGCGTTGTTTACCCATATCTTCAGAAACAAATCACTTCTACTGTCGTGGTAAACAACCTGCTTCCCTATTTATAATGGTCTGGCCCTCTAGCAACTTCAGCGTGAAATTATAGCTAATTATAGCTAATTTGCCTACAATCGTCAGGTGGTCATAATAATCTGGCCACTCAGTGTATATATATAAATATGTTAGCAAATCAGGCCTAATGTGTTTTCGGGGTATAAGTCTACTAAAACTGTTCCTTAAAAAAACCCAAGAACAATGGCTATGGAAGTCCATTCATTCAATATATCCCTCCTGTTCCAGAGGCGTACCCATGACAATATGGGAAAATCCTCATGATTGAACTCTGGGAACAAATCATGATAATGCCAGACGATACATATTTTTATACTTCTGGATAAACCTGGTGGAATTCTTGCGCTGATCACAGTACATCCCTTCTCCATTCAACAGCCAAGTTGTTCAGCATTGCATGGTATTATATCCAAATACCTCCTTATCAGGGAATTTTAGCAATGTTGGTAATTTGCCAATGGACAAAACAAAAAGTAGAATTCAACAAACCTCAAATCTATTTCTCTAATATTCCACATAGGTTTGACCCTTTCGCTGCCAGACCAATTTTTTCATGTTACACACGTCAAAATTAGCATTTTTCACCTAAAGAAAACGTTTAAATACCCATAAAAGTAGCATAAAAAGAGGATAGTTGTAAAATGTTTGTGTCTCGTGACATTTGTCCTATATTTTCAGTGAAAGTACATTAAACTTAATTTTAGCACACACAAAGACAATGTAATTCCCATAATAAATATTTAATAAATATATTCCAAATAATGATATATAAACCTCTAAAGCTTAAGAAATTAGATAATGAAGTAAATGGTAGCCCTAGAAATGTTCCTCTCACTCTAGCACGCATGGCGATACCTAACATATGTTGCACAATCAGCATCCTAGGTACATGCATGCGTCCTAGGTACACTTTTAATTTTATACGTATGTTTTTCACTTCATTGTATTGCTATCACAAAGCTCCATTTGCAATAGCATTGTGCAGATAAGAGACATATTGGGTCTACTGGATCCCTAATGTCTCCCCTGCACTTTGCCTCAACAGGTTGAGTATAGAAAGTACTAGATTTGTTGTTTCCCAGACACAGCCTGATGTCATCTGAAAGACTGGGATTCCTCTCAGCCATCCTGGAATGATCCCGAGCTCCCAGGAGGAGCAGAAAAATTTGAAACCATGGGGGGAGGGCACCTAATCACCGCCCATAGAAGTGATTCGGCAGCTTTTCCTGATTACTTCTACAAAATAGCCACAAGCCCGGGGATACATTTTAAAAGACGCTCCCAGCAGCTATTGAAGCTTTAAGCCTGTTTTACCCCATTCAATACCATAAAACAGCTTGGAGAATTCTGCCCTACTATTATTCAAGGTATTTACCAGTATTTCATATAGCGCCAGCACTTTACATGCACATTCACATCAGTCCCTGCCCTCAAGGAGCTTACAATTTAAGGTCAGATATCTCACATGCACACATATACGAGGGCCAATTTAGACAGGAGCCAATTAACCTTCCAGCATGTTTTTGGAGCGTGGGAGGAAACTGGAGTACCCGGAGGAAACCCACACAAGCACAGGGAGAACATGAAAACTCCTTGCAGATAGTGATCTGGATGGGATGTGAGCCAGGGAGCCCAAGTGCTGTAAGGCAGAACTAGAACTTATCTCTTTATATACATTGTATAACAATACAGTACACTGTGGTAATTAAATCCATATGGTCTAAATGTAACTCATTTTTCAAACATGTCAATTAATAGTTTGGCTTTCCTACATAAAATAAATCGTATAGCTAAGGCCCTAATTGTGTGGGACACCATGAAAGCCTGTTTTAGGAGAAATTCTGTTAAAAGTTTAATTTAAAGAAAAGCTTCAGAGACAAATTGGCCGAATAGCATGCAAGATTCTAGAGTATGACGTATAGAATACACCACCTTTTACAGTAGCAAAAAGTCACCAAGGTTCATTATATTTTGCTGCAGAAAACAAAGGAAGCTCTTTGTCAAAAAGCAAACATCCCTTCAACCAGCCGTGAAGTACTAACTCTACCCTGCCCTACTTAGCCAGGACCCAGGCCTCTGTGTCCACTATGAACATGTTTGGTGGATGGGCATGGGATGGAGGTCACAGACCCACAAATATCAAAAGCATAATGCAGGCCTTTTTTTAAGAATGTATATATCTCCAAAGATACTTGCAGTCTATCTTGCTTCAATACTATAATGCCATCCAGTTTTCACTACTGACACAGGATAACTGGAAGGAAGGGTTGGATGCCACCTTAATCACAGGGAAGAAAGCAGAGATGGTCAAAACACTAACTAATGAAACAGCTCCAAGCATAGATAAAATCCAACTGAGGGTTAAACAAAAGTTAGAAGACCTTTTAGGCCCACTATATACACTTTGACCTATGCCATCTCTGTAGGTCAGCTATAAAGCTCTATGGACAAATAATTATTATCCTCATTTCCAAACCAAGCAAGGACCCAGCCCAAGTAGAATTATACAGCCCTAAATCACTTGTAATGCACATTTCTGGCCAAAACCCTGTTTATTTGTTTTTCATCTGGTATCAATAAGATCACACATGTAGGTCAGACTTGCAAAACCACTTACTTATACAGAACATGAATTGCTTATTTTTAAAGGAACGGTTTAATGAAAAAGTAGGGAGACTGCAAATGATGATCAAACTGAATTAAAATGTAAGCAAGCTGGTCTAACAGTTTCAGTACTTTCAGAAACTCTAACCCGGAAGAAGTATGCAGTTTTGAACTACTGAATTCCCACTGACTTGTCTTATCTGCATGCTTGTTGCAGGCCAGTGACTCCAAAAGTAATGAATTGGATGAGCATGACAACCAGGCAACTAGCATTTTCTGAAAGTCAGCAATTTAACCTCAATATTTCTCTCAGTAAAGGTTTTAATTTGAATTAAATTCTTACTTTAAATCCAAGGAATAATAATCTGGACATTCATTACTTTACGTATTAACAAACATAGCTCATTTGTGTATCACTCAGCTGTAGCTCCTCAAATCATCTCTGAATTGGTGCTGACACTGTCCTTCTATCCCCCATCCTGTTTGCTCTTATTAGAGAGCCTATAGCTCTTCTCTTCAGATAAGGTAAGCTGCTATAATAGAGTGTTTGAAAGATTACCAACATGTAGATCATGTTGTTACTATATGCCTATGACCCTCATCTGTTATTCGGGGACAAGGATAAGAGTCTGCAGAAGGCCTTAGATTTGGCTTTCAGCTTTGACCATTCTCCAGTCAAGCCAATAATTAGTGGAAATCCATGCCGTTTCCAACAGACCCTTATCCAAGCATTGAGAAATGCATCTCAGCTAGCCTCCTTCAGGTACTTGAGCACATAATTATCTGTTAGTATTTTGTATTATTCAGTTTAACTGGCTGCCCCAATTAAAATCTACAAATGTATTAACGCAAGGTAGTCTCACATATTCAGCTACAGGGAGAAAAAAAACCTAGTTAAAAAAATACCACCCATAATTATTTCGCCATCTATGGCTACCATTATTCTAATGGACACTAACAGCAACTACAACAAAGCAGCTACAAAAGGGAGATAAATATGAATTTACGACAGTTGTCAGCCACTAGAAAACACAAAAATACAAGCAAACCTGCATACCTGTGCTGTGACTAACTATGCTAATCTAAGCCTTCTTCCACACTAAACATCAGAAAGGCCAGATGGCATCTTAAAGTAAGTTCTTCCTCTCTGTAAAACACAGTCACCACCTGCTAAACCCTCCCGACCTATATAGGGTATGGCTCCAGTAAGCACGCTCCATGCCAATCCTCATAAAAGCAATCAGAGCTTAAAAACCTACTACCAGACTTCAAGAACTGTCATGTGGATGATGTACATTTAAAACGTTGGAATTAGCATAGGAATATTAATAAAGTGGTGTTCGGCAGCAGAGGAGAGTTTATCTAAAAGGTAATATCTGCCACCTTTTTGTGTCTAGTATCAATGGGTGGTCAGTAATAATAATATTAATAATAATAGTATAATGTGAACAGTCTTTAAATGCATAAGACCATTGCAACTGTTTTTGCCCTTTCCCCCCTGATGACTGCAATGGAAGAAAGGCCTTCAAGATTAATTACAATACAATTTAAAGATACACTCACTTCATGCTGAGTACTCTCTGTGCTGCTATTTTCCTCTTTGCGAGCTTCTTCCTCATTGTGTCCTCCCCTCAATTTCATCAGGCTGCCGGTATTTTCGTGGCTGCTTCCTAAACTACCATCCCACGATGGTCTTCGAGCATCCAAAGGTGAAGTCCTTTCAACTTTGGCATCTATTGAGGAAAATGCCTGAGGTTCTTGTAGCTGAGCAGGCGGACTGGTTTCTTCTGTCTTACTGTATTCCGCACACAAATTCAAAATTGTCTCCAGCCTCTGTCGCTCCTAACAGAAACAAAATGCACATTTATTTTTAGTTGTAAAACACTACAAGTTGGCTGTGATTTTATATTATTTAAGTTTCACTAGCTTGTGGTTTTGCTAACATTTGTGAGAAATGTAAAAGTCAAAATCAGATTTATAGAACCGCTGAAATTCTCCATATGTGAATGAAGCTGTATAAGTGCAGGAATTGTACAGGATACTGTTTTTGTTGACCAGCTAAAGCCCAATTGTAATCTTCATTTAAAGCAGATCTTTTCCCCCTTCCATGATACTGCCACCATTACTGTGCTTACAATAGCAAAAACAGATATAATGATAGTGTATGTCTCTTTGCATAGTATGTTGGCACAAGCTAATACTTCTCTTCTCCTCCTCCTCTACTCTGGTGCCAGCATTTTCAATAGTAGGAGTCATGGGTGGATGGCTTCATCTTTTGCGTTTATGCAGCTGGCTAACCAATGACGTCAGCACCAAATCTTTGTAGAAAAAAAAAAAAAATGTAGGGGCTTTTTCCCCATAATCGAGTCTCAGGTAAAAGCCCATTCATTTTTTTTTCTCTACCCAGATCACGCAAGTTACTTACGAGTGTTCCCTGGAAGGCACTGGTGACGTGCCCTTCCCAGGGTGCAGCAACATCACCAATGCCTCAGTCAATGAAGTAAGATTCATTAAAGTAGTAGAATAAGGTCTTGTTCACACCACGTGCATTGAGCTGTGTTTTTGCACACCACTGCACATGTATGGTGTTAACAGGGCACACAGAAAACACTTGCTCTCAATGCGCCCTGTTCACACCATCCATGTGCGGTGGTGTGCAGCAAAACACAGCTCAACGGACATGGTGTGAACAAACCCTAATGGTCGATTCACACCAGATGCATTGGAGTTACGATGGCCATTGTTTCCAGTGTAGCCCCAACGAAAGATGAGGCAATTTGCCTTCAAAATATTCAAAAGATTGCAGCGCTCCTCTACAGCACACAAGCAGAGGCAATCCAGGTGCTCACCGGCTGAAGTTCGTCCTCACTTCCACATTAGCTGCCATCAAAACAATAAAATACCTGGCCGCACTCCATATAATCGCTGGAAACTTTTTTTTATTAAAAATTGCACAGCTACACAAAGTTCCACCTCAGGTCCACCCCTCTAACATGTTTAAACCAATCCTGGGCTTAATCATTGAGTTCTCTATGATTAAGTCCAGGATTGGGGAAAAAAAGCGTTAGAGGGGTGGACCTGAGGCGGGACTTTGTGTAGCTGTGCGATTTCTAATAAAAGAAGTTTCCAGCGACATATGGAAGGAGTCTGGATGTTTTGTTTTGGCGGAAGACAATTTGCCTTGTCACGGATATGTTCGGTTCACATCATCGCATTGCGAAGGGAACGCTTTGGTGTGCACTGAAAAAAAGTATGGCATGATGTACTTTTTATCAGAGCAGCGGGATCAGTGCTTCGGCACTGTGTTGGGGCACCACACTCCAGATGCTGTGCGATTAGTGCAACGCCTAATGTGAATGAGCCCTAAATGTTTGATTTCACAAAAAACTTGCACGTCTTAGAATCAGCACTCATGCATCAGGAATATTAAGTATCAGGTGATAAAGGTCTGCCTTAAACAAAATAATTAAACTTTGGGTGCATAAAGACAATAGTATTTAGGTGCCATATTCCATACTTGGTTATTTAACCGAGCTGCTATGCCAGCTCAAAATTCAGGTTCCCTGCGACTGGCTAAAGATAAATACTGGTGCACTCATTCTATTTCCATCCATCTGACACTCCCCTTTGCATGTGACACTACAGCTCTCCATTCAGCAATGCTCACGCTCCCTGTTGCTGAATGAAGTGGTGTAAAGGTGGGGGGGCATGTCAGAGAGACTTCAGGGTAATGCAAGGGATGGGAATTTTGAGCTGGCACACGAGTAAGGCACTCATCTAACGCTTTGAAATGTATGGAAGTGTAACTAGTTAAGGTTGAGACTCCAACTGGACTTTACATATTCTGGACAAGCTTTCAAGAGAACCTCTCTCTTCATCTGACCAAAAAAGGGAAGGGTTAGAACCTCTGACCGGTTTTTATTGTTGCCTCTGGTGAGTTTTCCTCTCTCAATTTGTCATGATGACCATTGGCACTAGGACTAAAAATGACTGAAAACCCAAGTTGTTAACTGTTCATGAGAAGTTTTCCTTCCTTTGGAGAGATGTCCTTTTGGCAGGCTGCACACTATTTTCAACATTTTTAAACAGCAATTATAGGGACAGACTAAAGTAGGGTACACTGTTCGCATACACGGTGAGAATTACAGCCGGTTCTTTATGAATTTACTCTTCATGAACCGGATGAAATTCTCACAGTGGATGCCACTGTCAGCACCCTTCCACCCGGCATCCCTCAAATCAGCTTATCGAAGGAGAATGTTGGAAAACTGTCAGCCGAACGGAGCTTGCAGTCAATCAGCAAATGTCCAAGCACCCATGCTTCACGGCAATCATGTGTACGCTCCATGGTTGCAGTGTAGCATGGGTGCTTGGACATTCCGGCACCGCAAGATGCACGGTCTGATGAATTGTGTGTTTGTTTCCACGCAGGGGCTCTCTACTTTTAATCTGCAATTCATACACACAGCCTATAGCAGTGCTGTGCTGAGCAGTGTTTTTCAATATCTCACACGGTACGGTGTCATAGGATGGATTACAATACTACAATTACTTTTTGACACATATGATTCAGTGAGATGCTATAGAAATATTTGGCACGCTCCCTGTTTTTTGCAATCTGCTGGGACTATCACATCGGAGAAGGTTTTGAATCATGTACGATGGATAACATTTTTCATGAATTCAATGATGACATTTTATCAGTATGGAGCCAGCTCCAAATAATTCAAGTTTGCGACGATTTATAACTCTCATATTACCATGTTTGGGACCACAGGCTGGGTTTTTATGGTTTTAGGGGTGTCTTGGAGGACATTTATTGGATTGCTATGGTGGCAGTTGTGTACTTATAATGTGAATTAGAAATAAATGTTTTTGCATTGTATATTTTGTTATATTTATTTTGCCTTCAGAAGGTTTCTGTAGATGTCTTATCAATTGGGAACCTGTTCTGTGTCTTTTTTCATTTATACTTAGACACTGGAAACCTTGTTCGGTAAACCATTTGTCAAATATTTGTAGTTCTGCTGTACAATAGGAGCCTTAATAGGTTCCCTTTTCTCTTTAAAATAAGTGGAAATACACTTTCATTTGTATTTTTTACACTTCTCATTATTACTGTCAAGTGGGAATGGCATCCCCTATGCGACAATATGGATTGCAGGTGTCAAGCTCCCTTTAAAGAGCCACTGGGAGCTGTGTCCCCTGTATTCAGCCAATATAGAATGTGGACAGCTCTTCCCTGATCTGCATCACCCCCAGTACAGAAACCCTATGAACCCAGTGCAAAGGGCTCAGAGCTTTTGAGTTCAATCATTGCAGAGGTAATGAGGGTTCATCAATCTCCGACTGCCCATGATCCTATCTCCAGGAGGTCAAGGTGAGCTGAAAATTTGGGGTGATGCTCTTAAATTTCGTAAAAGTGAGTGAGTGGTGGTACTATTTTGAAAGAAAAAAAAAACTGAATAAATCCTCTAGAGAGAGCTACTCTTACCTTGTGATCTAACAGCTGGGCATGTGCACTTTAAAGGTGAAGGTAGATGGATTTATTGTATGTTTGTGACTATTGGCCATAAAAAGAAGTCCTGGGACACCCAAAATTTCACTCTGCTTTGAGAAGAGAGCTCTTTGCCAGTTGGTCTTAGAAGAGCGCTGGGTAACCAAAATGCTTTACAAAGAGTGTTTGCCATTGTGACTAAGTGAATTTTAACGTCTTGAAGATACAATAAATGGAATTTTGCGAAAACCCCTGTAGAGGTGTTCATGAAGAACAATTTAGAATGTGTTCTTCTTTGGTGTCTGAAGTCTTGGCTGCTGTTGTACGGGGAATTTTTCATGGTGTGTGACCTATTTGTGGACACTGGAAAATGTGAGACATGCACACAGCTGCAGCCATGTACTTGTTTTCACCCTTTGGTTCCACCGACATAACATTTATGTCAGTGTAAGTGAAATGCTTAATGTAAATTATTTCTGAGCCGCTCTGTTGGTCAATGTCCCAACTATCCCTTAAGGGGACAGTTGGAGGGTAGCCCAACAGGGGAGGGTAGCCAAGCACCACTTTCTCAGGAAAAGTGGAGAATTCCATATAACTTCAGCTGTCTACAACTCTGTCTCTCAGGGCTGGACAAATCCCAGGAGCCAGGTAGCCAACTTCTTAAAAATTACAGCTGGTGCCTAACATTTTAGTTTTTTTTTCCTCTAGCTGGCTCTTAAAAATAAATCCTGCTGGCTCCTGGATTAGGCAGACTGGCTCCTGAATTCCAAAATAAATTGCTCACTCCTGGTATATCTACTGATTGTTTAGCATATGTTTTAATTGGAGAAAACGTTATCTAATGCATTTTTCATCACATGCTCATTTTAAAGGAAACCAGTAACAAGCCTGGACAAATTAAAGCCTAAATCCAATCAAATGTTTATGTTTTGGGTAGAGTGGGTAAGAGCTAGAATTTCTGGCAGATTTTTATTTGGTTGCTTTGCATTGGTTGCGAAAGGTGCCAGGTGGAAATTTAAGAGTGAGGAAAAGAAGCCCTGTGTCATTCGAGCTGGAGCTTACACAAGATGGAGGACTGTCTGCTCACCCCCATGTAACAGCACTGGGCCAATCACTAACCACCATCACTGTCACATGAGGGAAAGAGGAGGAATTCACATGTTTCTCTATATGTAGAAGCATACATGTCATGCAGTGCACACAAAATGCTCCAGCCAAGCGCGATGTTAAACTGAAATTTTTCAGTAGAGTTCACCTTAAACCAGGGGTGGGCAACTCCTGCCCTCCAGCTGATGTGGAACTCCAAGTCCAATGAGGCATTGCAAGACTGACAGGTACAGACATGACTCCCAGAGGCATGTTGGGATTTGTAGTTAAAGCACTGCTGGAGGGCCGGAGTTGCCAACCCCTGCCTTACAGTATGTAAAGGTGAAACCTTTTTTTCTAAATAGGGAAAGGTTAGACCAAATTGTTAATGTAGGGGTGTACAAATTAATATGCAATTCGGGATCCAGTCTGTCCAATCCAGGATCCAGCTCCAATGACAACAACAAACGTTAGGCGCCAGATGTACACTTTAAGACACATTGGTTCTCAGGATTTATCCAGCCTCATGTTAATGTGGTGTCCACCCGCCGTGGAGACTCATCCTCTATTCGTTCTGGTGACTATTGACAACGAGAGGGAAAGTAAGACGTAATCCTAAAGTTTAGAGTTGTCGTGAGAGCAAGAGGTATGGGGAACTCTTCCAAAGAGCATAAATGTACTGATGACAACTCTCTAAGATGGGAATAGCCTTAAAGGAGAACTATGGGGTTAAGGCTTTTCCCCATAGTTCTCCTTAGGGTAACGGGAGGACACAAACTAGCGTCCTCCCGTCACCCTAAGCTCAGTATACCGCAAGCTACAGCTCGCGGTACACTGTGACGCCACCATACACCGCGAGCTGCTGCTCACAGTATACTGAGACGCCGCAGCTGAAGCGGATCCCGACAATTATGTCTGGATCCGCCCAGCTGCGTGAGTGACAGCTGGGTCTGCCTATCTAGAGGCAGAGCAAGCTGTACCCGCCCCCTCCCCCGTCCGATCCGCGAGTCAGCGCTGGTGGATCGGAGCGGGAGGGGGGAATCCAGACCCTCACCTGTCACGGCAGAGAGCTGTGACAGGATCGAGAGGTGAGCGAACGCCGGTATCTGTTCGCTCACTTCTCGATCTACTGAGCCGACCTGTGACAGTCTCATTGTCACAGGTCGGCTACAACTATGAGGCGAGTGAAAAGCACTCACCTCATAGTTCTCCTTTAACTTTGGGGGGGATTGCTTCTCCCTTCATGATATGTCTGATGGGTTCTCTAACTAAAGCTGCAGCTAACGATTATTTTCCAAATCGATTAGTTAGCCGATTATTAAGTTCGATTAATCGGTTAATCGGATAAAAAGTAAAAATACATTTTAAAAAATGGCCCCAGTGATGGGACTACTAGTTTGTATTGAGATTGTAGTCCATCCCATGAGCAAGCTTGGAGCGGTGATGTGTGTGGAGCCGTGAACAGGGCCAACCAATCGGAAGCCGATTAATCGATGATTGGAAAAGTTGACAACTTTTTCAATAATCGATTATAATCGATTATGTCGATTAGTTGTTGCAGCCCTATCTCTAACCCTTTCCTAATCCATCCAAAATTAAAAGAAAAACTTTGGCTATACATACACTTCAATAGAATGAACATCATGACATTGTATTGGTGGCATAAATGGTATAAATCTTTCCTGAATGCATTCAGACAACTATATGCAAGTGCCCTTATAACAGCATTCAGCTCCCTGGATCAAGTATGTCCAAGAAAATCTTTAACTCGGGTGATAATTCCAGCCAAAATATCCCTAGAATGAATAATATGCCCTACTCCCTAACCCTATTTCACTGAAAAGCATACAAGTTTGTTCCTTGAACTGTTTGCATCCTCTTCAACCTAGCTCCATTATGAAGGGGAAAAAAAAGAAACATTTTTCAAAGCTCCCACTGATTCAAACTATCATCTGTTGTGTCGTCTATAACATAAAAGTATTCATAAAAGAGTTATAAAAGTATTCTGAATATCTTTCTTCTTGGTGAGTCACACACATGAATGGGCATGTAAGGGTATACAGGCTTGTGGGCTATGATTAATAAAATAAATATAGTCAAATCTAGAACGGAGTGTAGCACATTCCATTCCAAGGAAAAAAACTAACATGATTATAGTTGCATAATACATTTTGCCCTCTTGCATGCATTTTCTGCAACGTTATCAAACACGTGAAAAAAAGTGTGATATATCTCAATATTTCATGCCCACATTTATACACGCCGAATACTGTATAATTAAAGCACAACATCACTTTAAAAATAAAAATTGTTATTCCATTTCCAACAAACTCTGCTGCTGAAGTATTTACTCCTTTGGCACTTTCCACTGCCTGGCAAGCTCTAGCCAGAGCAGAATTTATCTTCAATAGCACTTCCAGCTACTTGAACAATTATTGAGGATAAACCAAGCAGAGAGTGGGCCTGCCAGTAGAGTATATTGGCCGGTCTGCTCAGACCTCATACTTAGCAGGGATCAGGTAGACACCAATAAACTGAAAATATATGAAAATGGGACAGCAAAAGTAGATACTATACCACCCCAGGCAGTGGTAACTGCCTTTCAGACATTAGGGAGTTAAATAATTACACCTACACATAGGCAGGCTAGGGAAAGGGTACAACTACAGCTTTTATTCTTTATTGTTTTATTGCCTGCAATCATTTACTTTAATCATAGTTCATAAGTCACAGTTTCCTTTTTTACAGCGGTTTCATTTTCACATGGAGTATAATGCCTTAAGCGGTGTTTTATCTTTCCACTAGGGAATTTTGCCTCTTTCTGGCCGTTCCCATCACACCTCCAGCACAGACTGTTTTTTTTCCCATAGAAGATCCCACTTTCAGCACACACACAATGGTCTTTCCCCTACATTCCTCTTCCAACACACCCACACTGGCCTTTCCCCTGTATCCCTCCTCCAACACACACACACCGGCCTTTCCCGTGTATCCCTCCAACACACATGTCTTTCCCTTGTATCCCTCCACCAACACACGCCGGTCTTTCCTCTGTATCCCTCCAACAAACACTTGTCTTTCCCCTGTATCCCTCCAACACACACAGGTCTTTCCCCTGTATCCCTCCTCCAACACACCCGATTTTCCCTTGTATCCCTCCTCCAACACATGCCGGTCTTTCCCCTGTATCCCTCCTCCAACACACACACCGGTCTTTCCCCTGTATCCCTCCTCCAACACACATCAGTCTTTCCCTTGTATCCCGCCTCCAACACACACACACACACACACCGGTTTTCCCCCTGTATCTCTCCTCCACCACACACACCGGTTTTTCCCCTGTATCTCTCCTCCACCACACACACCGGTTTTTCCCCTGTATCCCTCCTCCAGCACACTTGCACACACACATATCGATGTTTACACACTCATACCAGTCTTTCTCCTATATCCCTCCTCCAGCACACATGCATATTGGCCTTTCCCCTGTATCTCTACTCAAGCATGCACACATTGGTCTTTCCCCTCCTGTACACGGAGCTCTCTAGCCAGCTTTATACCAGCAGGGTATGAGTAATGTGTGTGTGCGCGCAATAACCCCTCAGAATCCTGTCCCCAGCATATGTGATAACTTCTCTCAGCCCAGTCCTCAGTCCATGTGCATTCTCTCTAAACAATCAGGCCTCAGCCATGTAGGTTAATTCCTCAGCACCCAGCTCTTTTAGGTCAACCTCTACATGAGCACTCAGTACCCAATGTATGTGCATTATCCTTTTTCCACCATCTTCTGCTTATGTGCATTCATCCCTCATCTGCTAGTACCCAGTGCATTGACCCCTCAGCACCCAGTCTCTAGCGCAACTGGGATAAACCCGCATATTTAATCTTTGCACTACGCCAAATCTCAGATTCATTACCACCTCCATTGTCCCAGAATAACCGGCTTCAAATTTTAGATGGCCATTTCCAGGACAGTGATTTTGACCTATATTTCTTTTCTGTAGAACCTCCCGTGTAAAGAGCTTGGCCCATATGCCATTACTTTATAATAAGTCAGTTTTGTCAATTGGTCCTTAAATGCGTTATGGGAAGCACTTTCCACACCTGTCATTTACCTGTATGGCTATAACAATATTCTTTAATGATTTTGTTGCTAAATGTGGAAAGATCAGTAACCACCATTTGGGAATTAGAAAGATGAACTGTTCTGCTGGTTGTCACATCCTCCAACTCCTACCCTGCACATATTTACCCCATCGTACCCAACACCCTCCTCTCCTGCACATACAAAACAAAGTCAAACCCTGCGCACTCCTCTCCGGCATATAGAGGGGAATTTATCAAAACCGGAGCAGCCAAAATCTGGAGTAGCTCTGCATTTTGAAATCTCAGCTGAACAAACTGAAGAGAGAAGCTGAAGCTGCCATAGTCAACTGCTCCAGATTCTTCTGTTCCAGTTTTGATCAATTCCAGCCTCCCTCTCATACGCTCAACACTCCTCTGCTGCATATACTTTTCCGTCGTACCCTCTGCAATCCTCTCCTGCACGTAATTCCCACTGTTGCACCCTCCACACTCCTTTCCTACACATACTGCCCCCATCATACCCTCCACATTCCTGTCCTGTACATACCTCCTGTAATACCCACTGCACTCCTCTCCTGCACATGCTGCCTGATATTTTGCCCCCTGCACATAAGGTCCAATTTCATACTCTCCCATCGTCTCTCCTGAACATTGCAATATCCTGTTCTGAAATGGGTACACCTTTACAAGTCTGTTTATTGTACAAAAGGTAACAGTTAAAATGTTAGTTCATATCATAAAAATCTGTCTAGTGTAGTTTTTATGGTTACTCCTATACTTCTATATATAGTCTGCTGTCCTCACCAGTCTCTCCATCTCTTGTTCTCTTAGCCTCTCTTCTCTCTGTCTTCGATGGTAATCCAATAGTTCTTCTTGATTGCCGCTGATGTCAGTGATGCTATTTTTGCGTTCTCTCAGTCCATGTGCCTTTCTTTGAGTTTTTGGACTCTGAGATGGAGTGGACAGTGATCCATAGCTATAGGCTGGAGTCAGCCGACGAGGAGGTTCTTGAAAACTAGAGGGTGAAGGACTACGATCCCGCAGCTGCCTGGAGAAGAGATTGTCTTCAGAACCAGGGGAACTTGCACTACCCACTCTGCGGCGGGTTGGTGCACGGGGGCTATCAGGAACTCGTGATGGACTTTCTGATGCAGTTTTGGAAGAACCAGGAATGCCTTTGCGTGACAGAGAAGGACTGGGAGGGGGAAGGTCTCTCATACTTATACTTTCCATGTTTTTGCGCACTAGTCTTGGACTGTCAGGAGGCAAACTCTTTGCTATCGACACTGTCTCCCTGTATGGACTAGAAGGTCTGTCCAAAAGTGAATGTTGATATTTGCTGCCCATGATAGGACTGCTGGGCACACTAAGACCACCTACTCTGTTCCCTGCACCTGGACTAGGTGGACTAAGCATAGAACTACCACCACTACGTAGAGATCGTAAATCCAAACTGCTGCCCCCATATGTGGGTGTTTGATGTGGTAAAGAATGGCTGAAACTGGAGGTTCTAAGAGGCACAACAGGAGGTACAGTTGTGTTTACTAAATCCTGCCCAGCTGAGGGACTGGAAAGACTTCCACTGCCAGAGGAAGATAATGGAGAAGAAAAGGCATTTTCATATCCAGAGTTGGAGGAGAGGGGGCTTGTAGGTGGTGAAACCAGGAAGCGCTGACTTCTTCCATTAGACATAGAGGAAATACTGTGAATGGATGTCTGGGACACCTTCCTCGTTAGAGGAGCTTCAAGAACTAAAGAGTCCATGATATCTTGAAGGTTTTTCTCAATGGAGCTCACAAGTGACGTATGTGAAGGTATACTAGCTTGGTATCCGTCACGAGACCCATTCAGCATTGAGGGCAATGTTTCTGGAATGAAAGCAGAAAATTAAAAAAGTTGAGAAAATTAAACTTACTGTACAGTGTAACACATGTGATTAACCACTGATTGTAACTCATGTTTTGAATAAGTTTCACTCTAGTAAGCTGAAAAAAACATACAGTAAATGCATATACTACTGGCTGCAGTAAGCTTGTCTCAGCCAAATGCGGAGGATAAGAGCTATTCAAGGAACTCTAGAGGCCCCTGAGAGGCCTGCAAAGCAATGATTGCTTTGGTAGAGTTGCTCTTCTAAAGCTGGGTACACACGGATCACATTACATCTAATTCAGCAGTAATCAGTCAGAATTCGATCTGTGCGTAGCACTATTTTCTCGCAAGAAAATTGATATAATGACTTTGGGACATGCTGGAAAATTGTCGGGCAAACAGTGCAATCTAATGATTTTAAATGGCCTCCTAATTGTTAGAAGTTTTGTATTTTCTGCAACACAAGATATTAGGATTGGCATCTCCCTTTTTCAGTGATCACATTTTACACCTCAGGGGATGGGATAAATGCCATCTAATTGGAACCAGGAGCATTTGTTGGTTTGTTGAGGGGAGGGGGTAACAAGTCATTACTTTGCAGACAGCAGCTTTAGCTTCCTTTGCAGGAATCTTATACCAAGAGTGATATTCTGCCTGATGCTTGCATCCATGTCCCCCCCCCCCTTCCAGTCTGGAAGATAGATGTTGCTGTACTTCATCTCCATTAGAAGATGCCAGCTCTCTGCACTAAAAATGACATCCTCCCTGTCTCCTGTACTAACTTCAGCTGTCACTTCCAACTGCCTGGCCAGCTGCAGCAAGCAGTTCTTTTTTGGAATTTTCCAGGAAAGCGACAGAGTTGCTTTAAACCCCCCTTGCACAATCACCTGATTTATAACCCAATCTAGATTTAGTACCTGCTAGACAGATAGGAAATCAAATGGAAAAATAGATTCTTCAAAAAGTCTTTAATGGTAGCTAGGGTGCATCCATTGGAATGTGGACTTAGCAAAAGGGTGTTCATAAGCAGACTGAATCCTTCTGTAAGGCGGAAGTCTGGATAATTGATTACATTAACCTGGTCACACTACATACTTGGCACAGCGGTGGGTGAACGTACAATTTGTGCAGACTGCGCGGGTGCACAAGGGCCCTCTGGGTGCTCATTTACATGAGCTGTGGGTGGGACAGGTGCTGTAACTAACATTGAGACCTGGACACTGCTTAAAGTGACGCTAAACTCAGGAGTTAAATCTTAAAAATGCATTCAAGTACCTTAAAGGAGAACTATTGGGTTAGGGCTTTTTCCCATAGTTCTCCTAAGGGTAACGGGAGGACACAAACTAGCGTCCTCCCGTCACCCTAAGCATTGTATACCGTGAGCTACAGCTCGTGGTATACTGAGACACCGCAGCTGAAACGGATCCCGACAATGATGTCTGGATCCGCCCAGCTGCGTGAGTGACAGCTGGCTCTGCCTATCTAGTGGCAGAGCCAGCTGTACCCGCCCCCTCCCCATCCGTTCCGCCAGTCAGCGCTGGAGGATCGGAGTGGGGAGAATCCAGTCCCTCCCCTGTCACGGCTCTCTGCCGTGACAGGATCAAGAAGAGAGCGAACGCCGGTATGTGTTCGCTCACTTCCCGATCTACTGAGCCGACCTTTTACAGTTTCATTGTCACAGATCGGCTAGAACTATGAGGATGAGTGAAAAGCACTCACCTCATAGGTCTCCTTTAACTATTAACAAAAATGTATCTTTTTGTGCATCACTCAGCTGTAGATCCTCAAAACATCTCTGAATTGGTGCCGACACTGTCCTTCCTTCTGGAGGGTGGCTACTTTTGTTCCCCATGGTCCCTGTGTGTGTTGTAAAGTAGTCACCGCTCCAAGCTCGCTCCCATGATGGACTACAATCTCCTGTTTACTTTACTAATTTGTATTGAGATTGTAGTCTATCACAGGAGCGAGCTTGGAGCGGTGGCTACTTTACAACCTTCCTAGTTACTTGCATACATTTTTAGGATTTAACTCCTGAGTTTAGTGTCACAGTAATTCAAGGGTAGGTGAAAACCATGAATCATTCTTTGTCCTAACTATTCTTAGTTTGTAAGCCCCTCCTTCACTTCTCGCGTGACTGCCACTGACATACAGAATGTTTCTACCATTTTCTTTTGTTACCATTTAGGCAGAAAGCAGAGGAGTGTTCATCGTGTTTTACTGGTTACATATTATGGACCATAAGAGTTTGGGCATCAAAATGTTTTACTTTTTATCTGCATCCATCTATTGAACCATCCATCGATCGACCCACCCATTGTGAAGAAGTCTTTGTACTTTGGAATTAATTGGAGGAGGAGCCCCAAATGTTTTTCTTGCACAGAGGCCCTTTGCTGACCATGCCCAACACTGATTTGGTTCTGTATACAAGGGAAGTGAAATTGTTTTCCTAAATAATGCCCCAATCAACTTTAGTGCATTATACCCTAATATTATTGTTATGTGGCACGCAGCCAGCTCACAAGTCTGGTAAGCGATCACGGACCGCGTACCAGACTTGCGGGAGCAGCTACAAGGTCTGCATCTCTGGTAGATCAAGTGAAGGGGGGGGGGAAGGAGGGGGAAGAGTATAAGGGTGCCCACACACCTTACGATAATCGTACGATAATCACGGGAAATCCCGCAAGCGTACGATTATCGTAAGGTGTGTGGAAGCCATGCGATCTCTACTACTGTAAGGTTGCACGACTTTAAACTCACGAACACGTTCTAAAACCCGCCGAGCATCGTACCATGTTCGGCGGGTGTGTAGCATGTTTGTAAGATAAAAGCCGGACGGGCCGGTGTGCGCAAGCGCACACTGACCCGTTCGGCATTGCGGTCATCGGAAGCCCGCCCCTCAGGGGGGGCGCGGCTTGCAATCATCGCAAGTACGATCTGCCTGTCTAAGATAGGCAGATCGTACGTTTTTTAAGTACCTTACAACCATGGCAAGACTAAAGTCTTGCCATGGTTGTAAGGTGTGTGCCCAGCCTAAGTGTATTAGGCTCCATTCACACATTACACAGTATCTTTAGGTGCAATTAGGGATTCCTGATGCTAATTGCACCTAAGGATACAGGTGTGAATGGAGCCTAAACATGCGTTTCCTGTATCAGGAATCCCTAATCTGGCATTTAAAAGCGGCAGCTGTCACCTATTCAAGTTAATGATCAGGTGACACCGCATGTAATGGTATGTGATATGATTACATTCGGTTAGGAATCAATCACTCTCCCTGGACGCAATGATTGAGTGTTTTCTGATCACATATCATTACATGCAGTGTGCAGGAGTTTACATGCAACTGCTGTCACCTGATCATTAACTTCAATGGGTGACAGCAGCTGCTTGTAAACGCCAGATTAGGGATTCCTGCTGCAGGAAAACGCAAGTTTCTGACGCAGGAATCACTAATTGCACCTAAACCTACAGATATGAATGGGGCCTTATTGTGTGTGTATTGGGGCCCGTAAAACCATATCGCATATACCGTAGTTAAATTTTATTTTAAAGTATGACATTTGGCGAGCGGCCCCCATGGGAGAAAATTTGTCGAGTGGCCCTCGAGGGAATTAAGTTTGAGACCACTGCTTTATGGTAACTAAGGCGCAAAATGTAACATTTTTAAAATGTACTTGTTGTACCATTAATCAAATACAGTTTTCTATCTTGTTCATCTCTTACCAGAGGAGTACAGAGCTGCTGAAGGGCTTCTACCAGTTGAAGGAATCATCGCTTTCATCCAGTGAGCTTCTGCTGGGTGGTTAAATCTCAGAAAAGTGGATTGACCCAAGCAGATCATACATCCTACAAATGGTAAGAAAATATGTATATATTAGTGTGAATAAGACAATAAAAGCTTTCTAAAATGACCCTTCCTATTGCATAAATAGCCTTAAATCAGTCCGAATGAAGGGTAGGCACCCTGCGGTGCATATCTTGTTGAGGAAACAATTGGAAGCAAATGTTCACATTGTTGCGATCACAAAAACTCCAGATGAGGTTGTGCATGCTTACTTGCATGTTTAAAGAAACACTGTCACCTTTCCCATGCAGAGCAAAATGACAGTGTCACTGCAAAGCACACTGCATTGGAATTAGCTGTGTTGGTGACCCCGGGGCTGGCGATGCCACTCTCCCTCTCATGTAACTGTGCTCAGGCCTAGTTTTTGGCTGCCAAGCCTAGGCGCCATCAAAGGGGAGGAATTCACGTGCTCTACCATACCCAGAAGTGCCAAGTGTTCATGCCAGCTGCAGTGGAGCAAGGAGCTGTGAGGTAGCACAGGCAAGGCAAGTATAGCATTGTGGGAAGCCCTTTGCTGGGACACTATAATTTTGCTTTCAATGGGCAAGGTGACCGTGTCTCTTTAATGCTCACATAGGAAATGCAAATTTTATTCTAAGCATAAACTGTATTTGTTGAGACCTGAGGATAAATGAAGTGAGGGGATTTTTTTCCAATTACAGATAGATGTAATTCTATTAATCTTTTTCCCCCTTTATGAGGGTTCTGAATCAGGTCAGAGTAGATCTAGCCCCCCATGCACTTCTACACTGATGATAATGATCTATTCCTTGCCCTTATCAGCAAATAATAGCTCACTTCATTAATTGTTCTAAAATGCAAATAGTTTTACAAACAATACAATGCACTTACACAAAATCCTTTAACCAGAAGAGTTTGTCAGTTATCACATGTACAACCACAAGCATATCTTGAACAAACTCTGAAGACCATGGGTTCCTTTATTAACAACAGACTTAGCTTAAATTCCTTTCTAGCATTCCACGGCTGTCACATATATAGATACACACACATAATTATATATAGAATGGTGCTATTGTGCTTGCTTTGATGAACATCAACGATGGGGACTTTGAAACAATAACCATTAGACGCTTTTGTTTAATATGGCAGACTGACAAAGCGTAAGCATACACTATGCTTGAATCTATTGTTCAAATTTAGAATCCACTTGTCAGAGTCAGTGAAACCTCCTTGCTAATTATAGGCCAAGCACATGTTCACATAACCTCCTACCAGAAAAGGGTAGGTCACCACCCAAATTTAGTAAATATTGCATACATCATATCACTTAACTTCTAACATCTCGTTATCTAAATGTTTTTCATTATAAAAGGCCACATAATTTCCTGATGAAATAAAAATGAAATCATGCTTGAATGTAATAAACAATAGGGAAAACAGTGTGCATGTACAGCAGACATCAGTATATCAGGCAGTGGTTTGTCACTCAGGGTGTGCATAGGAAATGCATTGCGGAGACGACGTGAGGTCATTGGATGAATCGCAGGGAGCATCTCTTAGATTCCTCCCTTCCAGGCAGACAACGTGCTGAGGTATGAGGTTAAGCTGAGGTATTTTTTTCATGCAAGCATGTGTCCTCAGGCTATGAAAATGTACTTAGAGAGGAAAGCTATTAATGAAACTCTATTAACACAGTAATACCGAAAGGAATTTATACCACAGATGGGAGAAGGGACAAATTAAGAACAAAACCAAAGAAAACTTTCACTTTCTGAATATGCTCTGAAAATGGAACTGACCCTTAGATGCAATAAAAATATATAATAAATCTAAAGGGGTTTAATATATCCAGTGCAATCTGAAGATTATATAATAATGGCAATAAAAGGCCTCATTCACAAGGTGTTGTGCCATACAGCGTAAAGGGTCTTTTTTTATGTGCCCGCCGCTGTGGGGAGATGCGTGGGGGCAGCTCATTTCACTTTATGGAGAGGCATGAGCTGTGCACCCTCACATGCTGTTTTGGCAGCCGCACACAGTGTACAGAACTGGGTGCATAATGTCTGCATCTAAGGCCGTACACCATCTGTGTGGGGCTGTCATAATGCGGAGTTGCAGGAAGTAGCACGTGAGGTGCACAACCCCTAAATCTCCATTGAGTTAAATGAGCTGTTCGCACGCATCTTCCCACAACTCCAGGCGCATCAAGAACCGACCCCCCACACAGAGCGGGGCAACATGCACATGCGAATGAGGCCTTATATTAATACCATAGATATATCCAAAGGGATATTAACACATAAGTGACGATGTAGTAAAGATCGTGTCAGGTTTTTATTTCTGTCTGTGACTCCATTGTGGAGATTTCCCCACACTTTCCGTCCATGTATAGCGTGTATAGGAAATGGAGGGAAATTATGTCACGGGGGACAGGGAGGCACAGACTGCAATAAAAACATTGTCAGAAGTTCTTCTAACCCTTCCTCACTATGCTAAAAATGTGTTTTTGTTTGGAGCCAGTCAGATATATGCATTGTGACAACCACAGAGCGTTACGGTGCCATTTATTTTGAATAGCACACCAATGTACTACAGCAGCAGAAAACGTACCCACACTGCAGCAAACCACAATGTGCATGCCATGCGCTGTGGTGCTCAGTCTAAAAAAAGGTCACATCCTTTTCCACATTAGGCCACACTGCCAGCCACAATGCGCAACACATAGGGGTCTATTTATAAACAATTTGCAGACGCATTGGCCCTGCGAATCTCAGTGAATGGATGCACAAAGCAAAAATTCTTCTCTATTTTCTTAAGTCGAATGTATTTTCAAATGTCATCTTGCTATCATTATCTTCTTTAGAAATATACCTTATAGTGTGAATTGGGCCTTTGTGTCCCTGTGGGGAAATATCTTACTTCCCAGACCAGATCTGGAATGCAGTGCATCGTGTTTTTGCCGCGATTTTACCCGTTACGGAGCTGGTGTTTTTTTTTTTTTTAGAGATTAAATTGGGCTCTCAGGTGCATTCCATACGTTTGTAAAGAATTTCTGATGTGTTTCCATGCATTCCAGTGCATTCCAGACCAAACAAAATGAGACAAGCAGTATTTTTCTGGTCTGGAACAGACTGCGCTGGTGTGAACAGAGGCCAGAAATAGCATAGGGATACATTAGGATGCATTTTGTGTCCGTAAACAATCTGGTCTGGAGATGATCTGGATGTGGTGCGAATGGGCTCTTTAAAAGGCTCTAACCCAGGGTTGGCATCGTCGGCCCTCCAGCTGTGCTTTGACTACAAATCCCAACATGTCTCTGCTTTGGGGAGTCATGCCTGTAACGGTCAGTCTGCAATGCCTCATGGGACTTGTAGTTACGCAACAACTGGAGGGCCAGAGTTGCCCACCTCTGGTCAATCCAAAAGAAGACAAAGAGGGGGAATTTATCAAAACTGGAGCAGACAGAATCTGGAGCAGTTGTCCATAGTAACCAATCAGCTTCTCTCTTCAGTTGCGCTTTGAAAATGAAAGAGAGAAGCTGATTGGTTGCCATGCACAGCTGCTCCAATTTTTCTCTGCTCCAGTTTTGATAAATTCCCCTCAATGTGTTTTAGGTGCAATTGGGCTTTAACTTTTTGTGTTCTGTGTTGTCAAATAAAGTATTAAAAGAATAACTGTTGAGGGCTCAGAGTTGTGTGAAACATGGCTCAGAGTTGTGTGAAACATAAATAAACGAACTCCAGCCAATATATTCCCTCTAGTTTTGAGTGAGGTTTTTACTGATGTCTGTACCCGCATTTCAGAGGTCCAGTCCTAGTAATTGAATGTTACCAGGAAAAGTAAAGGGAAATCTTTCTTTTAAGATGTCACTGGAGCAGGAGGTGGGAGAAAAATCACCTAATGGTATTTCTTCTCAGTTTAGGGAGATTTCCTCTCATTTCTTGCTGTGTCTCTGGAACAGGAAATAAGGGGAACATCTCTTCCAGCTGATGCAGAGATCATAATAAAAATCGACAGACATAATCTAAGCCTTCCCCGTGATATCCAAAAGATTCTATAAATATTTAAAGTCCCAAAATCAACATACAAATCTGACAACATATTTTGCTACAAAATGGTGATTTTGGCTGCACCCTAAGGCCTCATTCCCACTGCCGCGCATATACGCGCGTACGTGCGTATTGTACCATATGCAACACGTGCAAATAAATGGCTCCATACACATAGCCTCGTATGGAGCCGTATATTTGCGAAGCGTATATATGCGCAAAAACAGAATGGAACAGAGATGCGTCCGGGCAGCGTATTTCTGCGTATATACGCACACACAAGCGTGTTTACGCGCATATTCGCACGTACATGCGTACAGCACATTCAAAATTCCATTACGAGTGATGCATTCTGGGATTGCATATAGTGCTCGTATTTACGCGCATAGGCGCGTATATATACCCAATATACAATGCTGCTTGCGTTGTGTGTGAATGAGGCCTAAGTCAATGATATTTATCAATCACCCTTTCATAACTTGTTGTTCTACAAAAATATATAAGATGCATTTCTGTGTGACTCCTTATGAAATGCGCCATCTTGTTCTTTAAAGACAGGCAATAGAAGATACAGATAAAAGCCTCATTCATTGTACAAAAGTGGTGAGGAACCGAAAAGTCGGAGAGTTGGACTTTATTTAAAATCGGCACCTTCTCCTTTCCAAGGCCTGAAGTGAGAGGGTACTGATTGCTGCCATTGCTCTTTTTCCTCTCTCACTGAATAAGCCTGTAAGCGGAGCCAGAGAACTGGCTGAGGAAAATTTAGACTATCTATTTTAAACGTCCATATATAAAGACAAGCTCATGAATCCCACTTGGTATTCACCTCCTATAATCCCCTGTACAGCAGCATTCACACTGGGAGAAGAAGGGGCAGCAGTTGGAACCAATCAATTGCTTTGCACTACAAGGGTTGCAGGTCTCAGGAAGGATTCGGACCTTTGTCTACATGAACACATGCAGTATAACTCTACTAATGCATGCTACAA